TGTCTTTTCGTGTGCCAGCACCAGTGTTTTAACTACAGAGCCTTTGTAGTACATGTTAATTGTTGATAGGCATCAATTTCTTCACCCGCCTCAGCTCTTCTTGCCCCAGCTCTTTAATTTCAGCGTTTCCCTAGCTCTTCTTTCATTTGATTTCACATAATTTATTTTCAACTTGTCTAACTCCAGGAAAAAAGCTTACTGATATTTTTCTTATGTCTGCACTGAATTTATAAAGGAACCTTATCCTGATGGTGAGATGTCTTACCTCAGCATAAGAAATGCCTTTTTATTGACCAAAGTGCACTTGATTGTCATTCATAAATTTTAATTTTGAATAATTTTCTTCTATTCTTTCTGTTAAGCTTAATTTGTAGAATTTAATTTTTTTGTTGCTATTGTAAATGAAGTTTTGTCTTCTATTATGTGTTCTAATGTTATTGTTTATATACTGGGAGCTTTTTTATAGTTATTTTATATTTTGTTAACCTACTGGATAAATTTATATATGCAATTCCTTTTTTCATTGGTTTCTGCATATACTGCCACATTATCAGTGAATGATATAATTTTTTTCTTTTTTTTTAATGTGTGTGCCTCTGTTTTTTTCTTTTGCCCTATTTCAGTATGGTGATAAATTGCAGAGGGAATGGTATTCTTGTCTTGTTCTTGACATTAGAATAACTGGAAGACTATCTATGCCGGTGCATTTGTGTATGATCGTTTTTGATAACTTTCTCTGTTTCTTTCTTGAAAATTCGTTTGTTAAAGCACTCTCTCCCTACTCTTGTCAGTTTTGGCATATTATATATGCCTAAGAAATTAAGACTTTTACATTGGTTTTTCAAATTTTTTGTTGAAAGGTATAAAGAAATATAATTTTTTAAAACTGTGTTCCTTGCATCAGTAGTTACATCTCTCATTTTTATTTTTTATTCCTTATTATGCAATTTTTGTTTTTTAATTTGTATTTTCTTTTTTTCTGATTTGATCATTTAGTGACTTCTCTAGTTTGCCAAGTTTTCAAAAATATGATTTTAATTTATTAATTTGATGCAATAAGGGTTTTCTTGTACTCTACCACATCAATCTCTACTTTTATCTTTCTTATTTCCTTACTAGTGCCTCATCTTTTTGTTTTTACTTTTAACTTTTTTATTTAGAAATTCACATCATTTTCATAAATATATCTTAGCTGTTAGGTATCAAGTTTCTGAATTTTTCTCTGATCCCTACTTCTACAGTACCCCACATATCCCGATACATTATTTTTCAGAAATTGTATAATTTGCCTGTATTTACCCTTTCACTGAAAATTGACTTACTAGAACATTTTATAATTTATATCTAGAAATGTCTTTTTATTTTAGAGTTTTCTATTTAATTTCTAGCTATATTGCTTTATGATCAGTAGTATTTCTATTTTATGGAGCCTACTGATATACTTTTTGTGCCCAAATATATTTAGCATTTTTGAAAATGCAGCATGTGTCAAGAAGATATAGTCTCTCTTATCAGTTTGTTTTGTACCCATAAGATCTGATGACTTAGATCTTTTGAATTCTTATTTCTTAAAATCTGCTTAACCTTTCTTGTATTGAGTAACATGTCAAAATGTCTTATTAATTGTGTTTTTGCTTCTCCTTGTATTTTCTGTAGTCTCTGTTTTATTGTTTGGTACATAGATATTTATAACTGTTTGATATAGTTTGAATATTCATCCCTTTCAAATTTCATATTGAAATTTGATCCCCAGTGTTGGAGGTGGGACTGAGTAGATGTTTGGGTCATGGGTGCAGATGTCTCATATATGACTTGATGATCTCCACCAGGTAATGAGTAAACTTTTGATCTATTAATTCATTCAAGAGCTGGTGGTTTGAAAGAGTCTGGCGCCTCCTCTTGTCTCTCTTGCTCATTCTCTTTCTGTGGGACACACCTGCTCACCCTTCATTTTTCTCCATGGTTTTGAGCTTTCTACAGTCCTCACCAAATGTGCAATATGCCACACTTCTTGCACAGCCTGCAGAACCATGAGAAAAATAAACCTCTTTTCTTTATAAATCACCCAGCCTTAGGTATTCCTTCATAGCAACACAAAATGGACTAACACAGAAAAGGTCTTTATTATGAATTGCAACTTTTAGGAGTATCAAGTTTTCTCCTCTTTCTTATTTAGTGCCTCTTGACCTTAATTCTATTTTCTCTTATATCAGGACTACAGTCTCTGCTTTCTTGTTATTTTTATTTACCTGTTCTTTAGATTTAACCTTTTGAAACAATTATTTTTGGAAAAAGTATAGTATTGGCTATTGTTTTTAAATATAGACACATATTTTCTTTTAAAGAATAATTAAGTCCACTCACTTGTATTGACATGATTTATATGTGAGGTCTCAACTTTATTGTATGATTTTTCTTGTACTTACTGTGTTTTAAATTACTTTATTTACTTAGTTTTTGGAGTATGTTACTTTACTAAAGATTTTTAAAGTTTTTTTTTTAGGTATTTAGGTTAAGCTGAATTTTATTTTACTGGTTACACTTGTGTACATATATACATTTTTAATTTTTTTTTTTTTTTTTTTTTTATGAGTTGGAGTCTCACTCTGTCGCCCAGACTGGAGTGCAGTGGCCGCTCCCGGCCACCGCAGCCTCGACCTGCCGGGCTCCGGCGATCCTTCCGCCTCAGCCTTCCAAGTAGCCGGAATTACAGGCATGCGCTACCACGCCCGGCTGATTTTTTTGATTTATTGTAGAGATGAGGTCTCGCTGCTCAGGCGGGTCTCGAACCTGCGGGCTCAGGCAATCCACTCACCTCAGCCTCCCAAGGCGTGGGATTACAGGCTGAGCCACCGAGCCCGGCACATTTTTAAAGTTTAGATTCAGGAAGTATAGTAGTGGTGGGGATGGGTCTCAGGTGGCCCATTCCCCAGATAGTGAACATTGTTATATATCCGAATCTCACTTTTTTCTCGCTTAACCTTTATATCTAGTCCATTATTTTAAAGTGGTATTCTTAAAAATCTACCTGTTACCTAAACAATAGTTTATAACCGTACTTTAGTTTCTACTTTTTTCTCCCCCTTTCCTCATTTTATAGTTGTGTTTTTCCTTCTTTGTCAGAACATATACTGCTTATATCCTGTCTTTTCCCTCATATTCACAAAGTTTTGCCAGTTTCCTCATTCATTTTTTGGTTTATAGAAAGCTCATTCTCTACTAGATACCTCAGAAGATTAAACTGGTATAGAATTTCCTGAAATTTTCATATGAAAATTGTTATTCTAAAACCTTTATACATGCAGGACAGGTTATTTGTATCTTAAATCCTTGGTTCCCACTTTCTTTAAGTTTCTTGAAAATGTTGCTCCACTATTGATGCTTTAAATATTGCTTTTGAGGATTCTGACAGTCATTTAATTAATTTTCCATTGTGAGTTATTCTATTTTTATATCTAAAGGCCTTGAAGAATATTTTCCAAAAAGTATAGTCTAATAACATTAGTAAAATACCTCTAACAATTTATTGTTTGATGAAAGTTTTGCCAGATATTCAATGGACCCATGCAATATGTAAACTCAGATATTCTTTAATTTCCCAAAGATGTGTCTTCAATTATAATTTTAAATATTAGTCTTTCCATTTTTATCATTTCTTAAAAAGCTCTATTCATATGTTGGGTCTTCTTTGCCTGCTTTCCAAATTCCACTACTTTGCCTGTGACCTGTTTTCATTTTTTCCTCACACTTTTTATTCTCTCTTTGTTTTTCCTCTGTGCTACTTTTAAGGTTTTCCTTCAATTGATTTCTTTTGAGGTCCTTACACTTTAGAGTTTATTTCTAATATGGTTTTGTCTATTTTTTCAATAAATTTTTATTTTATCTCTATTTGATTTTTATTTATATTTTCTCTTTATTGAGTTTTTGATTTATAGTGCTTTTAAAATACCACAAGTGCATGTCTGAGAATATTTAATTTATATTGAAGTGTTTTGGTATCTTTTCTCTATTTAGTTAGTTAATTACTTTAATAGAGAAGTTTTATTAGCTGAGATGCTTTAATTTACATTTTCTATTTTATAGCAGCTTTGTAAAGAGTTAATTTTTTGTCTATTTCCTGGTATTTTGTGGACAGTGTGTATAGGTGAAGAGTGCACTTTCCTGTTATTTTAATAAAATATAATTTTTAAAATAAATATTGGTAATGGAAATGGAAGTGGAGAGGATAGCATGCTTTAATTCTTCTTCTTCCTCCTCTTCCTCTTCCTTTTCCCCTTCTTCTCCTTCTCCTTCTTCTTCTTCGTGTTCTTCATTTGACCATATTACCTCCTTCCTTCAAGTGCCTTGTCTCCATTGGTCAGCATGCCTCTCCTTTTGATTTGATTATTTTCCACTAGCCATGGTTTTTTGAAGTTGTCACTTTCAGTCCCTTGTATTTCAAGTCTTTTCCACAGAGCCTGTGCTGAGAACTATTAAATCCAAAGACTATGTTTATATGTTGACATAATGTTGGACTTTCTTTTATCTGAAGTTGATGTGGTGTCCGTTAGTCTCTTAAGACTTTCCTCTACAGCTTTACACATTCTTGGATTTTTAGCAGCTGCGGGAGCTCTGGAATTTGGTGTCTTTTTCTCTACTAACAAATAATTCAAAGGTCATGGTATTCTCCATATCTTAGTAATGTTAAAAATATTAGTCATCTATATTATTACCCTACAGACCTGGCAGTTCTAGCATTATAATTTCAATGAATTACCTATAAACTAGGCCTTGGATTAATCTGTAGATCTCCAGCATCTCTTTCTTACATCCCCTTTTAACTTTTACCAAAGATGAAACCTTTTGTAAACATGATTGATACAAAAATGTTGGTTTAAATTTATGGTCATGCTCATAAAGAAAAAAAACAAGAATAAATGGTTATGACACAAAACTTTCCCATTTTGTAATTTTAAAAGAAATGCTTACAATCATTGCTAATTATGTGATTTTTCTCATAGGTGTACAATTTACTTCCAAATATAGAACTATATGGTTATTTCTACCACGGTCTGGATCTTGATGATGGCAAGGTAGACCCTTGCATTCCTCAGAAGGATATGTTTTACAATGGCTTATATTATATACCTGTCAGCAACTTTGGGGATGGAGACATCTATGATATTATCAGAGTAAGAACACTAAAGATTTCGTAAACTATTTTCCATCTCAATTTTAATTTTAGTTTTTATAATGTATCATGATGTTTTATTATACAGTTTTCTTCCTATACTTTGAGACTGGTGTATGTAATTTGCTAATAGGGTACACATACATTGTCTAATAAAAATGAGATGTTGATTTTTGTCGATTTTCTCCTTTTGTTGAAAATAAATTATATGGTTGAAATTATAAAATATCATGTTGGAAATGATAAGATTGTCTCCAACTTATTGCAATAAATGTTATTAAGAAATAGTCAAATCAAGAGGTTAAAATAGGGTCTGGACTCCATATATACTTTGGTTGTTCATTAGATATGCTGAGGCTTCCATGAAAGGATCTTTATAACCAGAGGCACAGGTGTATAAGAAAAGGGACATTGAATCAGACCAACTGCAGTTCAAGTCCCAGCTCTTCAATTTACTGAGTGTGCATTATGGTTTTGTTTTGTTTTGTTTTGTTTTGTTCTGAATTGGAGTCTCTGTGTCACACAGGCTGGAGTGCTGTGGCACCTTCACAGCCACCCCAGCATCGACCTACTGGGTTCCAGCAATCATTCTGCCTAAGCTTCCAAGTAGCCAGAACTATGGGCACGTGCTACCACATCCGGCTAATTTTTATTTATTGTAGAGATGAGGTCTTGCCAAGTTGACTGGGCTGTTCTCAAACCCTTGGGCTCAGGCAGTCCACTTGCCTCCACCTCCCAAAGTGCTGGGATTACAGGCTGAGCTACCAATCCTGGCCTGCGTTATGTTTAATGAGTGTGTGTGTGTGCATGAGTTTGATGTTAATTAGGGCAATGATAGTGCCAATTTCATTAGTATTCTTATTTAAGACTAACTGGAGAAAGATGTAAAATATTTAGCAAAATGCTAGCACATAAGTGCTAGATAAATCATAGTGATTATCATATTTTCTCTACGTTTTTTGAGGAGTTTTTTTTGTGAGTTGAATAGAGGTGACAATTTCTAAGCTCTCAGGCTTGCTAGCACATAAAATGTGTATATTTTTATGTATTTGTCATTACAATGTACTTATATAAGCCTTTGTAGTTTATCATGATAACTTAGTAGGTCTTTTCTAGTTCTTGCATGAAAGGAATAATCAACTTTTTTGCTATTTGTTTCTTTAAAGGTTATGGGTCTGAAAGCTTTTACCAATCTCCATTACCGAAAACCAGAAGTCTGTTCAATGGAGAGGAGGCTACCATTCCTTCGGCCAGTACCTCTAGGAACAGGAAGTTACAAACTGATGCATAGCGCCCCATCTAGAATTGCATGTGAGTATTCTTGAATTTTGTGTCAGAGAGGAGGGTGTGGTCAAAATCATTTATAGAAATGGATGTATTTGAGATAAAATTATTAAAATATTAGGATTTTATATGTAAATAATGCCATGGTTTTTCCTATAGCTCGACATTCGGCTATTGAATAAAGCAGAATAACAGAGTCTGGAAACGTTTTGGCTACAAGGAAGAATTAACTTCAGATGTGAAAAGTTTATTTTTATTGGTAGAACACAGTATCAGAAGTACAGTCATGTGTTATATACTGACAAGGACATGCTCTGATAAATGCCTCCTTAGACTATTTTGACTTTGTGTGAATGTTAAAGAATATATTCACACTAACCTAGATGGTGCAGCCTCCTACACACCTAGCCTATATGGTACAGTCTATTGCTCCTAGGCTACAAACCTGTACAGTATGTTACTGTATTCAATACTATAGGCAATTATAGCACAATGGTAAGTATTTATATATAAACATAGAAAAAGTACAGTAAAATATGATATAAAAGCTTTTTTTAATGATACACTTATATAGGGCTCTTACCACGAGTGGAGCTTACAGGACTGGAAGTTACTTTGAGTGAGTCAGTAAGTAAATGAATGTGAAAGCTTAGAACACTACTGTACACTACTGTAGACTTTATAAACTCTTCATATTTAGTGTACACTAAATTTATTTCAAAATGTTATTTAATATTAAATTAACTTCTGCTTACTATAAATTTTTTACTTTCTAATTTTTTTTAATTTTTAATAAACTTTTTGACTCTTTTGTAATAACACAGCTTAAAACACAAACATATTGCACAACTATACAAATTATTTTTGGCATATATCCTTATTCTATAAACCTTTTCCTATTAATTTTTTTTTACTTTTTAAACATTTTTGTTAAAAATGAAGATACAAATACACACATTAGCCTAAGTCTACACAGGGTAAGGGTCAATATCACTGTCTCCCACATCCACATCTCATCCCACTGGAAGGTCTTTAGGGCAATAATGTGCCTAGAACCGTCATCTCTTGTGATAATAATGCCTTCTTCTAGAATATCTCCCAAAGGACCTGCCTGAGGCTATTTAGCAGTTAACCTTTTTTTAATAAGTAAAAGAAGTACACTCTAAAATAACAATACAAAGCATAGCATAGTAAATATATAAACCAGTAAAATGTATTGTCATTAACAAATATAACACACTGTACATAATTGTAGACGCTGCACTTTTTGCATGACTGACAGTGTAGCGGGTTTGTTTACAAACATGTAAGTAATGCGTTGCTTTACCACATTATGACAGTTACAACATCACCGGCAACAGAAATTTTTCAGCTCTATTATAATCTTATAAGACCATCATGGTATAAGTGGTCTGTTGTTGACCAAAACATTCTTATGCAGTTCATGATTGTACATAGGAACAGGCAATGTATGGTGACATGGAAGGACAACCATTGTAAGTGAGGATAACACAGGACAATGAGGTGTTCCTATGGGTTCTTTATACCCTTCTTATATATAGACTAAAATACACAGAGTCCAGGACTGAAAGTATTTTGATGACCTGAAAGCCAGACAGCTAGAGTCAGAGAAATATGTTTAAGTACCTGTTTATTTCCAATTGTAAAAACTTTAAGCACAAAATTGGGCCCTTATCTTACACAAATAAGGTAATTAAGCAAATTTCCAACAAAGAAATTTGGTCAAGGAACAAAATAAAACAAAGCCAACATAACAGAACCAAAAGCAAAGCTGTATTCCAGATGCATTTGAGAGTACTTGAATGGCATTGTTTAAATCCCTCTGGCCTGTCATTGAGATTAGTCCAGTGATTGAAGTAGGATTGATCCTGGAGATGAGTGTTGGAAGTTCCACTTTGAGAAAGATGAGAAACCTGACAACTTTATACAAAAATAGACTCAATGAGTATTCAAGAGGCTCTATAAAGTTCAGAAGCCTAACTCACTTAGAGGTTCCCCTGGTAAGAGGTTAAAGCTACTGAATTTTCTACTGCTATATTCTACCATATTTGGTGAGCTCTATCAGAAACATCTACACTGTCTTGTATCTCAAAATAGAAAGTCCTGAAACCCAGTCATTTACTTTAATCTGTTCCTACTTCAGTCATCCATTTATTAATTCATTAAACAAACATTTATTGAGGCCAGAAAGTGTGTTGTACAATGTAAAGACAGTTGCTTAATCCCTGCTCTATTGAAACTTTTAGTCCAAGAGGGAAGCATTACAGTGAAACAGGTAATTCCAAGAAACTGAGAAGAGTGTACTCAATGAAAATATATGAATGTAAGAGGCCTAAGTTTCTCAAAGGCCTATTATGTACTCCTGGAGGAAGTAACATTTATACTGAGACTTAGTGGAAAGAGATAAACATGGATGGATAGATTTGTGTGCTATTTTCAAGTAATAATAGACAACATTCGTAGGTGAGTAAACCATGAGAGATGCAAGATTGGGAAGGGTCAAAGACAATTCTTAAATTTCTACCTTGGGTAAGGGGGTGGATTTTGGTACCTTTTGTGGATATGAAAATACTGGAGAGAGAAAAGAGGAAGATATTATATAATGAGCTTACTTTTGAAACAGTTATATTTGAAATGCCTGTTGATCATCCACAAGAAATGTATGCAAGGGTGCTGGATGCACTAGTTGGGGCCTCAGGAGACAGATCCCAGTGGAAGACACAGCTTGAGGAGGCATCAGCGTAAATATTGCAGGAGGGCAAGTGTGAGAATATTAATGAAAAGACAGCATGTGGGAAGAAGAGGACCTAAAGCAGAGCTCTTAGCAACAAGTCAAGGATGAAAAGTTCACATAGGAAGAGACTTGAGTGTGGCAAAAATAAGAAAACTAGAAGGATGTGGTATGATAAAGTTAACAATACTATTTTCAAAAGGACACAGTGACTAAGAATGCCAAATGCATTCTAGAGGACAAGCAAGTGAAAGAAAATCTTCTGAAAATTTTATATTATTAAACACTTTAACAAAGTAATATTAGCTAGTGGCATTGGTACTGAATGTCAGATGAGAAGCTTGAGTCAGTAAAAGGAAATACTTTCTCTAAATTTGTCTAACATAGGTTATGTGTTATTTTTGCTCATGTATTTGTTGTTGCTTTTAATAATAACAGAAATTTGAGCATCAAAATGCTAATGTTTATGTTGAAATTTTCAATGATTGACGAGCTCAGGAGCAAATTCCTTCATGCTTCATACGAAGGCCCACTAAACATGTGTAAAGACCTAGCTAGCTTTTAGGTATGTAACACTGAAACATATACTTTTAATCTCTCTAAAAAGATAAATACTCAATTTCTCTTTTCTTCTAGTTAGTGAAGTCATGGGAGAAAATGTTGAGCACGTAGAACAGGCTATAATGGAAACAGTAAGAACAAATTTCCCAGAGACATGGCTTTGGGACTTCATCAGTGTTGAGTGAGTTTTTAACAGTCTTCTCTCCTGTGTGTCTTTATTTCTATTTTCTTTATCTTTTTATTTCATAACTTTTATTTCTGGTTTAATAAAATAGTTACCATATTTGTAAAATATACAATACCTTTTATTTGCATATACTGATCACACACTGGTTTTACTTTTTTCTTGATTATTGTTTTCCCATCACCAAAAGTTTCTCTTCTATTCATTTCATGCAGATAGACTTGAGCTGCTTCAATTTTTTAAAAAATAATGTATTTTTTAAAGTGTGACCTTTCTAAGATTTATAGACATTCAGCTGGCAAGATTTGTATCTAATGTCCTGTTCAAACACTGAAACTCAGTTTTTAACCTTTACTAACTTTTTTTTTTGAGTTAGGGGTCTCACTCTGTCACCCAGGCTGAAACATAGTGGCACAATCACAGCTCACTGCAGCCTCGACATCCTGGGCTCAGATGATCCTTTTGCCTCAGTCTCTGGAATAGCTGGGACTACAGGAGCTCACCATCATGACCGGCTATTTTTTTTTTTTTTTGGTAGAGATGAGGTCTTCTGTGTTGCCCAGGCTGACCTCAAACTCCTGGGCTCAAGCAGTACTCCTACCTTGGACTCCCAAAGTGCTGGAATTACAGGCATGAGCCATGGAGTCTGGCCAGTTTTTTTTTTTTTTGCTTACTTTATACTAAATTTAGGTTCTTGGTTTATACGAAGAATGTGTTTTTATCAATATCCGTTCCTTGCAGTTCCTCCGGTTCAGCAAATCTTTCATTCCTCATTCCTGATACAATAACCCAATGGAAGGCAAATGGCTTCTGTGTGAATGCTGATGCTGGATTTGGTATTTCATCAACAATCACCCTGGATGTCTCCCAATCTTTCTTTGTTGAAATAGCCTCACCTTTTTCGGTTGCTCGAAATGAACAATTTGATTTGATTGTCAATGTCTTCAGCTACCTGAATACATGTGTAGAGGTAAGTTGTTCTCTTTGATCTAGAGGCAAAAATCTAACAAAGCTAAGAGATTCCTTAATATTTTCCTTGAATATTGCCATATTCTCTTTATTTTCAAATGCAAGATGGTACTATAAATGGATAAGACGTCTTCATGTTTCTTAAACAAAAATAATTGCTTTAATTCACAGCAGTAATTTAAATACCATTTGGGAGTGACATTTCATAATGATGTGCATTCATGTGCCACCTTCATTATCATAATTGGTTTTTTTTATTTTTGTTTTTAGATTTTTGTTCAATTGGAAGCATCTCAGAATTATGAAGCGAATAGCAACACTCTGAAAAACAATGGCAGTGAAATTATCCAAGCTGGAGAGAGAAAAACATATTTCTGGATTGTTATACCTAAGAAGTTGGGTAAGCAGCTATAAGTTTACACCAGTCTCTCATGGAAAACCAGTCCATTTTTATTGTTTCCATTTATTTTCCTCAAATTCTCTATTCAAACATGTTTCTCTCCCTCACATTTTTAATTCTTCTTTCCTTTACTCTCCATTAAAATTCTAATCTATGATAATCGAATTTCTGGTTACTAATGCTATGTAGAACAAAAAACTACCACTCATTTGTACAAAAGTATAATGTAATTAGAATACAATATAAACACTAACTTGCATGACCTATCAAGTCCTACATGTTAGGAATATATTGCATCCCCAATAAAGGCCATATTGTCATTAACACTACTTAAATTCTTTCACTTCTCATTAGCTCCTTCATCTTCTATCAGGGACCCATGCCACCTATATAAAAATTGCTCCTCAATCACAGTGCTCAATCATAATGCTAAGATTTGTAAATTTACTAAAAATGTATTATGAGACACCAAAACCACTAAACACTTAAATTAAAATCAAATACTGAGGATATTGTCTTAATGCATATGCTATCTATAAGATAGAAAAATAAATCTGTATTTTATTGAAAATATAGGAATGGAAAAGTTAAACACCTTAGTAAACAAGGGATGCTAGATGTAATGCCATTCAAATTTTCTTTATTTTTTCTTTTTTTGTGTGTACCATAGTCACTGTATTATATTAGCAGCAAAGAGTATATTTATGAGATTTTAGTTTGCATTTGATGTTGATCTGCTTCAGACTATTTTTCTGTTAGATTTTAAGTTTCTCAATTATTCTACTACACAAGGATTTCAAAAATCTGACCCTGGCAATTGAGATAGAATAATTTACAAACTTGTATGGCTTTATGACATTAAACAGAGGACACAGTTCTAAGAGTTTAGTAGCAAGCTTTTTAAAACAAATAAATCACACCACCACCAACAACAAAAACAAGAACAATATATTGGTTATATATATATTGGTATGTAGGTACATAAGTAATATAAAATTTAAAGAATTTTTTTGATTCTCTAATTTGTACAAATAAAGAAACTAGAAATCAATTGTAATTATATAATGAAATAGCAGGAAGTTTAAAAAATGAATTCCTTGCTAGTACTTGATTTTAATACAGTGCCCTTTCTACAATGTAATATTGCTTTATTTTTGTTTGTTTGACCTGGGGAAAAGTGTGAAGCCCTAGTTATCTGATGTTATTATGCCTATATTGTCAAATGTGACCTTTATAAACAATAACAGAAAGGAATTAACTCAGATGGCTTTGTAGAATATTACTTCCCCCCAATTTCTTGAGTTCCAATTAAGAAAATTAACTACTTTCTTAATAATAGGAATTTTGAAATAGGTAAAACAGATCATACCACATTATATCCAGGCAGGAGAGGAAGAAAACTATTTTGGTTCAAGCATTAATGTGAAGATGGAATTTGGTTCATCTAATCCAAGATATGATTCAAAGACTCAGTCGTTATCCAGTACAGAAGAGGCCAACGGCCATTTTAACTTATATTTGGGGATGTTTTCCAGGTAAACTGAATATCACTGTAGTTGCTGAATCCAAACAAAGTAGTGCTTGCCCAAATGAAGCAAGAGGGCAACAAAATCTAAACTGGAAAGACACGGTGGTCAAAAGTTTATTGGTAGAGGTATGTATGTACAAAAATATCAAACTTTTCCTGATGAGAAATTGGCAGTACCTAAGAGTTAAGTACTGACAGACATTATCCTTGAAGAGAATTAATTGGCCACAATTACTTTGACACAACATACCATTTTAAATGAATTTGAAAAGCATAAAGATCATCCTTTTTTAAATTAATACCTTACCCAGGGTAGTAAAACTTAACACTTGAAACAGGCTTCACAATTTTTTGCTTGCTCCTGACTCATGATGTTTTCTGTACCCCTTTTCTTCTTCTCACTCTTTTTTAACTGAGTCTCAAATTCAAGAAGCAAATACTACTTGTCCTACACTCCTATCTATTTCCCATCATCCCCAGTAAGAATCAACATTGTTAGAGGAGCTGTCTTGCTTTGCCTCTGAGCAGATCCCTACTCTACAGAACACTTATTTGTCTACTGAAGATTCTAGACAGGATAAGAGAAGTTGAGAGTGTCCCACAGTGAATGACATCGAGGTTATCCCTGTCCAACCCACGAGAACACAAAGTCTAAAATGGGTGTTGTTAATGTACTGTCACTTCCGATATGAACAGAGGGAGATGATGAATGAATCTTCTTTCAGAGACAAACTTGTACCAGTCATGCTTATGTGAACTGATCCTTGATTTCTCTTCCTTCGTGGAAAGCTCATTTAGACTCATTGCTTTGGCTTGTTTTTGTTTACTCTTTGACAGCCTGAAGGTATTGAAAAAGAAATCACCCAGAGTTTCCTTATCTGTACAGAAGGTAAGAAGTATTTTAGGTGGTCAAATTAATCCTAAAGAAAATTCGTGAGCAGGGTCAATTAATTTTCTCTCCTTTCACATTAGTCCACTTGACATGTGATTTCACTTTAAATACTTCATGTAGGATTAATTTTATGATTTATCACCATTATATAATTTTGGCATACAAAAAGTATATTTATGAGTATTTTTTTCTTAGTTCACCTATGACATTGGTCTGCTTCAACCTACTTTTTTCCATCTTGCATATTCTTGGCTCCTGTCAATGTTGAACAATAGGAAATCAATATTATGCTCAAATAGCATATACTATAATCTTTTCTTTTGTATTCTTAGGATAAAATAACCCATTGATACCATCATTGCTCCTCAGTCTCCTATTTTATGAGAATGGTCATTATAAGTATTATTTTACCTGATTGGTGATGATCTGATGTTAATGCCTAATAAGAGTCTTCAAGCTTTTTACCTTTTTCATGTTATTCTATATGTCATAGTCACTAGTTTTGCTTTGTTTTGTTTTTTAACTTTAAAATTTTTTTTTAAGATGTGGAATACAATTCAGAGTTAGGTATACAAATGTTCGTTATGCAGTTACCCTTGTTGATGAGGTGCGCCTCCCCTCCTCTGGCAGTTTCCTTCAATGCCAATCCCACTTCCCCTCCCTTGGCAGTTTCCCACTACTGCCGTCTCTTTCTTATAGTATTATGATAATTGTTCAAGGTCCGCATATGGTACTCTGTTCTTTGTTTCTGTGATAGATCATTGAGTATGATAGTCTCTAAGTTCATTCAAGTTGCTGCAAAGTCCATATGTTTGTCCTTCTTTATAGCTGCACAATACTCCATTGTGTATATGTACCACATTTTTTTTATCCAGTCCAGTTTCAATGGGCAGCACAGTTGGTTCCATGATTTTGCCATTGTGAATAGTGCTGCAATAAACATGCATGTGCAGGTATCTTTTTGGTAGAATGATCTGAGTTCCTCTGGGTATATTCCCTACAGGGAAATTGCTGGGTCATATGAAGGGTAAATTTCTAGTTCTTTCTGAAATCATCACACTGTCTTCCAAAGAGGTTGCACTAGTTTGCATTTCCACCAGCAGTATAGAAACGCACCTTTTTCTCCTCATCCTCGCCAGCATCTGTTGTTTTTTCATTTGTTTTTAGATTTTTCCATATGTAGAAAAATGTAAAAAACAGTGAAGAACAGGGCCACTAACACAGATTTATATACCATTTTCTGAATGCATTATTATTCTAAACTAGATCAAACCCTCAATTTCTTCTCTTCTAACAAGCAACTTGTAAAATAAAATTGTAAAATCTGATTTCTAGTATGTTTGTACCCAAAATCCGTTGCTATTGTTTATAAAATGAAATTATCACGTTTCTTTTTTATCAATATTTTCTTTCCAGGTACCAAAGCATCCAAGCAGGTACTTTTGGACTTGCCAAAAGATGTAGTAGAAGGATCAGCCACAGGCTTTTTCACGGTTGTGGGTAAATTGATTAAATTTGTGTTTCACAATTATTTGAAAATTTTGATTGAATAAAATCTTGAAAATTCTTAAAATAATAGCATGGAGAGATTTTCTCAAGCTCTCAGTTGGAGGAAATTATTGTTTACATTATCCTCTATAGTTATTTCTCTATGGTTTCTGAAGGGATTAGAGTACCTTTTCCAAATCTATGTTTCTAGAACACATTATTCTGGTAGATGATAATTGCTGCTCAGAAGACAAAAGATTCCATCATAACCCACGAATCAGAAATATTAAATCCACCTATTAAATAATCAAAATTAACTTTCCCTGATAAAGATGTTGGAAATTTTCTCAGTAGAAAAGAAATTTCTTTTTTTTTTCTTTGAGTTGAAGTCTCACTCTGTCGCCCAGAATGGAGTGCAGAATGGAGTGCAGTACTCCCGGCCACCGCAGCCTCGACCTGCTGGGCTCCTGGGCTCCGGCGATCCTTCTGCCTCAGCCTTCCAAGTAGCTGGAACTACAGGGCGCGCTACCACGCCCAGCTAATTTTTTTTTTTTTTTTTATTGTAGAGATGAGATCTCACCAAGTTGCCCAGGCGGGTCTCGAATCCGCGGGCTCAGGCAATCCACTCACCTCAGCCTCCCAAGGCGCGGGATTACAGGCTGAGCCACTGGGCCCAGCCAAAAAAGAAATTTCTTAAAAAAAAAAAAAAGCAAACTTCTTTATCTGCTGTCAACACTAACACCTCTTAGAAGGGATGAATTATACTTTAACATTCATAAAGTCAGTTTGAAAAAACAATAAGCAAACAAACACAGTTTTCTAACTTCCTCCCTTCTCTGGTAATGAGATTTTTCAGAAGCATTTTTTATATCACATTAACTTCACCCTTCTTGACTATCTCCTTTTTTGAATAAAACGTTGTTTCCACCTTTTAGACTCAATTTTACATGTTACCTACTCTCACTACGCCCCTATTATCTATGGTTATCAAGGCTGAGATGGCAGCTATAAGCAATATGACTTCCTGCTTTTTCTGTTTTTAGGGGATATTCTAGGACTTACAATGCAGAATCTGGAGAATCTTCTCCAAATGCCCTACGGATGGGGAGAGCACAATATTGCCATTCTAGCATCCAGTACCTATGTCCTTGATTATCTGAAATCTACTGAACAATTGACAGAGGATGTTAAATCTAAGGCTTTCTTTCTATTATCTAATGGTGAGAAAATTTAAGTAATTTCTGCTCATAATAGCTGAAATCAGTTACTAATATTACCAAGATGTCATAAAGTTGTTTTTAGAAGGTACTGCGATGAAAAAAAAGTGAACCTAAACTAAGGAACTTTGAGTCCTAGCTATGTTTTCTTTTGACTTCAAAAATCTATTCGCTTCATAATGTATAACTGTAAAGTTTTCAAATTGCGAGTTTGTTTTTGTTAGTGCCTGTTGTTGTTTGTTGTTTTTAACAGTAGCTGTAAATGGGTCATTGATTACCTTCTGCTTTTGTTTGCTCAGCTGTATTTCACTACAGTTAGAAGTAATTAGATTTCTATGTAGAAGGTAGATAAACCTTGCAGAATGAGATATTTAAAAAAAGTCCAAGGGTATAATGTCTTGGATATTCTTCTCAGAAAGATAACCCTGAAGTAAAATAACCAGAGGGAAAAGATATTAAACAATTCGTAAACACCAGTGGTAATCCAGTTATTGAGCTAGGCATACAAGAGGGGCACCTGGAATTATCTTTTGGAGGGCGGACACCTTGTAGTACATTCAGAATTTGTTCCTCCAGATCAAAGGGTCAACCCAAGTTTTTATTTGGAAGTTCTGAGAAGGTTGTGGCACCATTTGTCAAAGAAAATTCCTGAGTCGTGGCAAGCTGGTGACTGGTTCTTCCACCATGACAGTGAACCTGCCCACACCATGCTGTGTTCAGCAGTTTTTTACCAAAAACTGCATGACTCCCATGCTCCACACTCTCTATTCACCTGCTCTCCCCACAAGCTACTTTTTTTTTGTTTCTGTGGGAAGAAAAAATTCCTCAAAGGGAAACATTTTGCCGATGTGGAAGAGGTGAGACAAAAAACAGCAGAAGCATTAAAAGTCATCAAAATTGACAAGTTCAAAAACTGTTTTAAACTGTGGAAAAAGTTTCTCCGTAGATGTATTGCATCAAACGGAGAGTACTTTGAAGGTGACTGAAGTTTAAACATGTAAGAATAAATACACAATTTTTTACACATACATTTCATTTTGGGGGGGATCCTTCCTTGTATTCATATGTAAACCTATTTGTCAAGACCTTAGAAGGTAAGAGTTTCTTCCCTTAAAGATAGAGAACTCAGTTTCAGAAATTCGAATTGAAATGGCCGTCCTAGTCATTTTTGTCTAACACTGAAACGCAGGGTTTGCATTCTTTTTCTTCTAACATTCTTAGAATAGAAAATAATTTTCTGCAATATTGTATTTTAGGTTATCAAAAGCAGTTGTCTTTCAAAAACTCTGATGGTTCATATAGTGAATTTTGGCAGAGGAATCAGGAAGGAAGCCTACGGTGAGAGATAAAAATTTTATTTTAAATAGTATAGAAATGATATGAGGAAGGCTTTTAAGGAGATGAGAGGAGATTGAATCCAGTGAGATTTGGATACAAAGTGCATTTACAGAGGAAAATCAGATAAAACTAAAATATTTGATTTTTTATACCTACAGTCTTATGGCGGTTTGCTTAGCAGTCTGATCATTTAATCATGCCCCCCCCATATTTGTAAAACTTACTAATTTTGTAGAAAATAGAACATCTTACTCTGCATGCTCTGAGTCTCATATAAATTCAGGAAAGTAGAACTAGACTACCCCAGAGCTTCTAATACACTAATTCTGTCTCATGTATGAGTAATCTAATAAACTATATAGTAAGATCTTTTGGTATAAACAAGCTGGAAATTACCTACTATATTTTCCACTTACTGTTACTCATAATATTTTACTGACCCAAAGGAAAAAGTCACTATTCATAAAAATTGTCCCCAAAGGGAACAACAGGGATGAATGAATCTGTGGGATCACTGGCATCATTATTTCTTTCTTATCTGACTTTCCCTCTGGTGATTTGCATTACAGGTTCAGTGCCTTTACTTTTAAGACCTTCGAGGGAATGAAAAAATATGTATTCATTGATGAAGATATTCAAAAACAGACCTTAATCTGGCTTTCAAGCAAACAGAGAAGGGATGGCTGCTTTAAAAGTGATAGCGAAATTTTCACCAATGCCAGGGAGGTAAAAGACTAACAGAACTAGGCTTGCCTTGCTGTTTTGCATTGCCTGTCCTCCCCTAGTCTGGAATGTGAATATTTTTCTTGTGAATATTATGCCTTCTGAATCTGCTGTAGTCATAGACCTGTGGTGGATTGGTCAAGAGCATCCTTCCTGCTGCTGGCATGTTTAACCACAGTTGCATATGACTCCTCATAAATCTTTTGTTTGCCTTACTCAGTCTTTAGTTCTTCCCTGAAGTCAGTCCTCTTGAGTAAATAAACTGGAAATAAGAGATAGGGAAGAGAAGGGAATCTAGATGAAACAGAAACACATTTGGAGACAGACAATATATTAAGAGAGAGGACCTTGAGTGTATCCAGTATCCTCTCAGGGAAAAGCACAAAGGCCAAACTTGCCCTAAGCCAAAGTACAAATGAAACCAAGTATGTCTTGGCAGATCTACCCCATTCCCTTTCCTGTTCATATTTAGGTAGATCACCAGGCATTCTTTCTTCTCTTCTGACTTCCTTTCTTTGCAAATATTCATCCATCTCCACTCCATTTCCTATCTCTTTTTTCCCTGCAACCTTTCTTTTTGCTGGATGCTCAAAATCCCCATCACGATATTTTAGCATGCCCTGAAATCCCCTGATATGTGTGCTGAGTTGAGAGAAAGAAGGAAGCAAAAGAAAAACAAAAACACTGCAGAAGAATGGTGATACCACCTGCCATAGTCTAAATGTGCTTTAGTTCTCGGTGTGTTATTTTAGTGACTGCCACTGGTAGTTCTTAGCACCTTGAAAACTTCGCTACTCAGAAATATTTCTTTTCTGAAGAAGAGAAAGTTTGCCTTTTGCTTAAAAAGATAAAATTGGAGGTTTGTACTAGATTAGTAGATACTAAATGCCAGTCTGAATGCTATTTGCATTAGAATCACCAGAGTACCCATTAAAATCCAATTCCTCGTCTTATTCTTGAGTTTTTGAATGACAATCCCTTGTGTGAATGCTGGTTTACTTAATGTTTAAGTTATCTAGGGAATTTTTATGCAGTTTGCAAACCATATGACCTATACATATTTTTCTAATTTTACACTGTAAGAATCTGCGATCTATTATAACCTTACTAGGAAACTTTTTGAGGAAATTTCAGAAAACGTCACAACAACTTTCTATTTTATCTCATCAGAAATTCTTGACTTTTTTTCAAAAGAACACCAAGTAGAGTCAAATAAAGTCAAATGAATTACTTAGAACCGTGCTTAACACCAGGTCACATAAATATGATTATATATACCATTTAATATACTTGAAATTAAGTGTGTTATGTTTTACTTAATTGTTTCATAGAGTCTGAATGTGCTTTTGCTCAGATGGTATGACTATTAAACATATAATTTAAAAATTACATATTCTGGGTTTTTTAATGAACAATGAATGGTATTTGTTCCAGTTTTTCTTTCACACCTAGTTTCATCAGAAGAATACCTGTTCATTTGTGCTCTACTGTCACATATGACTCACTGTTCCTTTGTTTTTAGGGTGGAGGTGAAGAGGACATTGTACTCACTGCATATATTGCTGGGGCGTTCCTGGAAGCTGGGTTCAATTTCACCGTATGGATTCCCATCCTCTTCTAGCTTCTCTCTGTTGTATGCACTTTAAATAGACTAGGTTTAGAGTGGCTGGAAATTCTCAGACTGGATGAAACATCAAGAGAACATTTAATTCATTATGACCTTTAAATTGATACTGCTCAAACTTGTTTTGATTCAGTGTTGATGGACACTGTTGGGTTTTTCCCTGGAAAGAATATACATATACACACATACACAAGTTATTCATACATTGTTGAATGTTTATATCTTTCCTGAATTTCAGCCACGAGTTTCAGATACAGAACTTCTGCTCCAAGTAAGCCTATAACCTAGTATTATTTCTTCTAACCAGGGGTCTCCAATCCCCAGGCCGAGATCAGTACCAGTCCCTGGCCTGTTAGAAAGTGGACAGCACAGTAAGAGATGAGCTCTGCCTTCTGTCAGATCAATCAACTGCAGCGTTAGATTCTTATAGGAGCACAAGCCCTATTGTGAACTGCACATGTATGTGAGGAATCTAGGTTGCGTGCTCCTTATGAGAATCTAATGTCTGATGCTTTGATGATCCCTCTTCTCTTGTCCACGGAAAAATTGTCTTCCTTGAAAATGGTCCTTCATGTCAAAAAGATTGGGGACCTCTGCTCTAAACAATCAGTAAGTAAACATTTTCAGTTTTAGTATAGCTCATTCTGGCCTTCTCCCAATCCATATGCTAGATTGCCTGGTTCCAAAATCTATTCCTAAAGTTAGATGCTAGGAATTTTCAGGGTATGAGAATATCTTAAAAATCATCATCAGAAATGTAAGCTCCTATTTTAGTTATCAAGTAAAATATTTTAGCTCTAAAAATAAGTTCATATGCTTTGCCACATAGAAGAAATGTATAACTAAAATGCTATTGATCAGATATAAAAACTGCCATTTTCTTACTACTTGTACTTCTCACACACTAATAATGACATTCTGAATTTATTTTAATGATATTTTTGAAGTTTAATACCTATGTATATACACAAATAGATTCATATGTAAATATATTTCAAGAATACATCATAAACAAGTATCAGTTTAAATATTCAGTAAGTTTATGGAATGTTCAGCTATCATTTGACGATATATTATTCTTTTTCCTGATTAGTTTCCTGCTCTACGAAATGCACTCTTTTGCCTAGAGGCAATGTTGGACAGTGGTGTCACTAATGGCTACACTCAAGCAATTCTAGCTCACACTTTTGCATTAGCTGGAAGAGAGGAGCAAGTGGAATCCTTACTCCAGACCCTGGATCAATCTGCTACAAAAATAAGTAAGTATTATTATCCATTGTTGCTAATGGAGACGATTTTGAAAACGACGTAATGAAATCTGTTTAGCAAACATATAGAAACCCTCTGTTCCCCAGAATGTTTCTGTTCTTACAGAATTTATCAGTGGTCCTTTATCTTTAAAGGTGTGTGTGTGTGTGTGTGTGTGTGTGTGTGTGTGTGTGTGTGTGTGTGTGTGTGATTTCCCTCTTTCTCTTCTATGCTGGTTTCTTCTCAAATGAATGATGTAAAAGAAACCAAACATGGTGACCATGCCATAGAAAATAATAACTACTTGTGAAATTTATTTTTTCACAGTTCTACAGTCTAAGAGTCCAAGATCAAGGTGTCAGTAAGTGTAGTTTCTTCACTTGCAGATGGCCACCTTCTGTGTCCTCACATGGTTTTTCTTCTGTGTACACATCCTTGGTTTCCATTTTGTGTGTCCAAATATTTTCTTGTAAGGACACCAGTCAGACTGGATGGTGGACCACAAGCCTCACTTTAATATAATCACCTCTTTAAAGCTTCTGTCTCCTCACATTCTGAGGTAACATGGGTTAAGGTTAACACATGAATTTTAAAAGTCAAGAATGGAATCAATCAGAAGTCAAGAATGGAATTTGCATCCTTCTTTTTTGTAACCTATGCTTTTTATAGGGACTATGTGAAAATTCTTCCTTTTTTTCCCCCCTAAGATAATGTTGTATACTGGGAAAAAGAAAAGAAACCCAAGACAGAAAAATTCCCATCCTTTATTCCTTGGACATCTTCTGCTGAGACTGAGAAGACATGCTATGTACTGTTGGCTGTCATTTCCCGGAAAATTCGTGACCTCACCTATGCTAGTAAGATTGTTCAGTGGCTTGCCCAACAGATGAATTCCCATGGAGGCTTCTTTTCTACCCAGGTGATTGATGTGGCCCTAATATTCATGACAGTATGTTATGCAGAAGATGTAGCTCTATCATAAGCTGGATAGCAAAGATAATCACAAAAAACACTTTCTGAAATGATGGATATTTGATATTATAAATCCTATTTTCTTTCCTCAACAATTATTTATTAGGCAGTTATTTTGTTTTAAGCTCTTTATTAGGAAGTCTCCACATGCAAATGAATAAAATGAGGCCCTCTTTTCCAAGAATCAATGCCTGCTTATATTTCCATTTGCACAGTAAAAATAGAATGTAAGTCTAGAGATCTTTGTCATGAGCACTCTCTTGTGGTACATTAGAAATCTGATGATATTAAGGTAAGCTATATACAACCAAAAAGAAAGCTTTCTCTCTAGTTCTGTGGTCTACTACACATTGAGGAAAAGCACTGAAAGGAATGAGTAACAGGAGACATGTGTATAAAAAGCAATGACTTTCTTCCTTCATAGAAAAGAAAAGAAAATACAAAGAAATTCAGTTTCATTTCCACAAGGAAAATGTTTATTTTCCTCTATTTTTGGTCTTAGTTTCTTAGTAAAATCATATGCCAGTGACTCTCTAAAGGTCTTTTCCTAATTCTGACTTCCCTCCTTTGAATATGAGCAGACATAAGAATTATCCAAGGCAGTCATGGAGTCACTAAATTATGTAACATCTTAACTTGTAGAAAATATTTGACACTATTTCCAAGCACGAAGACAGTATTTTATGACAATTAGATTAGAAAATTAGATTTTGAAATCTAATTAGGATTTGTTGAAGAAAATTAAGTTCACTGGCAACAACTTGAACAAGCAAATATATTTTTCTGTTATTTAGAATATTGTTTTCTGGTATTAGGTTGACCTGTTTTGTGAACATTTATATGGATTGATTTAAAGTTCATGATCAAATGATGACTAACATTGCATCATAACTAAGCTTGTATCATTGCTTGTACTTTTCTGTGCAGGACACTGCAGTTTGTCTTCTTGCCTTAACCCGCTACATGAAGTTAACTGTCTCTAGTTATCAAAACACTGTCACCTTTAGCAGTGAAGGATCCAGTGAGATTTTCCAGGTTAACAATAATAACCGCTTTCTGGTTCAACGTTCAGAACTAACAAAAGCACATGGAGAATATAGAGTAGATGTGGAAGGACATGGTTGTACATTTATCCAGGTAATAGAAATCTACCTAAGGGGAAGGTGAATGTTTGCTAATAAAAGAGTTGCAGTAACTCTTCCATTATATATGAAGTGTTATTTTGCCATTTTGTATATTTCTTTGATTACTCTTTCATTCATTTATGTTTTAAAATTAATAGCAGAAAATGCAAGTTATTTTATGAAGTATTCACTCCTATGAATAGCTAGCTAACAGAAGTTTTTTGAGGACTATTCCTGTTAGAAAGTAATCTTCATTACATTATGTTGTTAAAGATTCTATGTTCTGCAAACTAAATTTTTTTTTTTTTTTTTGAGTTGGAGTCTCACTCCGTCACCCAGACTGGAGTGCAGTGGCCGCTCCCAGCCACAGCAGGCTTGACCTGCTGGTCCCCGGCGATCCTTCTGCCTCAGCCTTCCAAGTAGCCGGAATTACAGGCATGCGCTACCATGCCCGACTGATTTTTTTATTTATTGTAGAGATGAGGTCTCGCTGCCCAGGCAGGTCTCGAACCCGCGGGCTCAGGCAATCCACTCACCTCAGCCTCCCAAAGCGCGAGATTACAGGCTGAGCCACCAAGCCTGGCCTGCAAACTAAATTTAATTTATCCTGATTCCCTGATTGTAAAGATATAAAGTGCATTAATAATATAAATAGAGAAATAATAGAGTATTTAATTCTTAGTACAGAATGAATTTTCTTATAATTTTGTCTTTTCTAGGCCACTCTTAGGTATAATGTTTTACTGCCTAGGAAGGCATCTGGATTTTTCCTTTCCTTGGAAATAGTAAAGAATAACTCTTCAGATAAATTCCAGACTAATTTTGACCTTACAGTGACCCTCAAGTAAGTGTCAAATTTTTATATCAATTCCCATGTTAGAAAAATGGTAATATATCAAAAAATAATTTTAACTGATAAAATACGAATGATAGCAATGTGACGAGTTCTCATGTTGGTGGTAATATTTCTGCAACATAGTCCTTTGTACACAACTTAATACATCTTTAACTAAATCAAAGTTAGAATTGTGCAACTACAATATGCCTTCTATGCAAGCATAATTTAAAGGATTTAGCTGCACTGATATTCCAGTGAGACTTTTATACTGTTATAAGGAAGTCCTCCCAATTTTGGGCAATAGAGATACTATATCTCCTTCTAAAGACAAGCATAAACAATTTAATTTAGAGTTCATGATCAAATGATGACTAACCTTTCTACTACAGAGCATAGGTGGCTCTGTAATAAAAAGCCCACAAGTGTTTATTTTATAACTATAAAGAGCAAAATTTTAGATTTTTACTTTTCATAATAGAAAAACATAATCCTCTTAAATTCAAACATGATTATAAATGACAAAGTGTTTTAGCCCTAGTTAATGTGCAGGGAAACACTGAGTAAAATTAGTTTAGAAGTTTTTTTTTTTTAAGATTTCTAAATTAAAATTTCTTGAATACCAGAGCTAAGAACTAAATGCATTGTGGAACTCTCAATTTCATTCCCAGAAAATCCCATCCAGAGGCAGGAACATGAGCTAGAAGAGTTTTTGAGGATATGTCTATTCTGTAACTCTGCCAATATACTGACTTTTAAGCAAAACTTTCCTCTAAGTGTTATGCAAATCTAAGACTAACCTAAGTATATGTAATATACATCTATAAACTTTGTAAGTTCTGACTCTGAGACTTCAGGTAAGCTTGACAGCAGGGTCTAGAGACATTTTAGATCCACATAATTTATTATTTGCTCCAATTTATGTTGCTTTGTATCATCTCTTCGATTATCACTACTGTTGTGCCTATTTGCAGATGTTTGAGAATGGCTTTCTTTAGGTATTTCCTGTTCTCCAGATTTCTCACCAATTACCATTTACTTACCTGCCATATTTACTATGATATGTTACTTTTCTAAATTTTCTAAATTAATGTCTAAACTAGTGTTGTTGTTTTTTTTCTTCTTTAAAAATGTTCAGATATACTGGAATTCACAACAACTCCAATATGGTTCTTATTGATGTAAAAATGCTATCAGGATTTACTCCAGTCTTGTCATCCATTGAGGAGGTAAATGATAGAAACTCAAACTATCAGCACAGAGAGCAATAGGTATATAGATAAAATAAATAATTGGTTAGCAAAGCAAAGTCATTCTTCATTTAAATGTACTTTTTCAAAATTTACATTTATATTTTTGCTGTAACACTGGAGGGATGGTGTTCTTAATTTGTAGCCATTAACAATCTATATTTCCCATAAATCATAATATATTTCTTTATTTAACTCCTCCTTGTGTTTATAAAAACATCATGGCACAAAGGAACATTTCATAAATAGAACCAAACAAAATGAAAAGCATGAGCAGTCAATTCTGGAACAGTGCTCTCGTTTGTTCTAATATATATTCCCCATCCTTCCTTGTCAATTTTTTTCAAAGCTTGAAAATAAGGGCCTAGTGACGAAGACTGAAATCAAGAACGACCATGTTCTTTTCTACTTGGAAAAAGTAAGTTTAACACTATTTATTTTTCATTCATGTCTTTATTTTTTCTTCTGAGGGTGATTAGATACCCCTATTTCTTATAGATATGTGTGACAAAGTTTGTAAATAGAATATAAGTATATATATGAATGACACTAAGGAGTATCAGTGATCTGCCCCACTGAGCACCTACTCCTTGTTAGCTCTAAGTTTATTTCTTATATGTCTTGTCTACCTGACTAGATAGTTCTCAAGTTGAGAAACATCATCTCTCATTTTTCATTCCTCATGACAGAGAATATAGTCTGCCCACAGAAAAGATGTATAATTGTTTTTATAATTTGACTAAAACTCCAATAAAGTTTGTCACGGTTTAATTGTTTATTAAAATCTTATATTGCAAGTACACAGCATGATATTTTCATGTATATAGTATGATAATTTGATGTATATAGCTAATTAACAATCCATCTCTTCTCATAGTTGCCTGCTCTTTCTTGTGGGGAAAACAGTAAAGATTTACTCTCATAGAAAATTTTATGTATACAATGCAGTGTTATTAACTATAAACCTCATTCTGTACATAGGATTTCTAGAATTTATTCATTCTACATAACTGAAACTTTTATACTATTTGACCAACATCTCCCTATTGCCCCATACCTGGTAACTACCATTCCACTCTCTGCGTCTATGAATTCAACTTTTTAAGATTACACTTATAAATGAGATCATGCAATATTTTTCTTTTTTGTGTCTGGTTTATTTCACTTAATATAATGTCTTCCAGGCTTATCAATATTGTAACAAATGACAGGATTTTCCCTTTTTTAAAGCTGAATAATTTACTTATATATTTTGTATGTATAACATATTGTATTCGATTTTATGTTATATATAAATATATTGTTTTATATATTATATGTATAAATAACACAATTTCATTACCCACTTATCTGTCTACTGTCTATTTAATTAAGTAGATCCTAAATTTCTGGAGATAATTTTCTTAACAATTTTTTTCTTAGACGAGCTATGATGTTTTATCATTTGTGCCTTTATAGGTTTTTGGTGCAGTGAACAGTTTCACTTTTTCTGTTGAGCAGAGCAACCTTGTATCCAACATTCAGCCAGCACCAGTCATGGCCTATGATAGTTATGAACAAGGTAGGCGAACAACATGCTCTAATGCTATTGAACATGATATCTCTACTTAACATTCTCCAAGCTACTAAATTCTCCAAAATCATCCTCTGTCTTCAAAGAGTACCTAATAGATGGTTTCATTTTTTTATACTGATTTTCTTTATTCCAATACTCAAAATCTTTTGATATAATGTGAAAGGGTTTCCCTCGAACTTCAAATACAAAGCAAGTTAGGCTTACAGGCCTTTCTGTTGTTCTTATTGTTTATGGCAAGACTAACCATTCCATTCTACCTCTTTGGACTTTGACTTAAAAAGGACAGTGGGCAATATTCTGAAATATTATTTTAAAATTTTGATAGATTATGTTCCAAAACAATAACTAAAATATTATAGAGACTGTGGAATTTTTCCTAGAAAATGGGTGGCTTATTTCACTTAATATAATGTCTTCCAGGCTTATCAATATTGTAACAAATGACAGGATTTTCCCTTTTTTAAAGCTGAATAATTTACTTATATATTTTGTATGTTTAACATATTGTATTCGATTTTATGTTATATATAAATATATTGTTTTATATATTATATGTATAAATAACACAATTTCATTACCCACTTATCTGTCTACTGTCTATTTAATTAAGTAGATCCTAAATTTCTGGAGATAATTTTCTTAACAATTTTTTTCCTAGAAAATTTGTTTCTTATTGAATAGGAATACAAACTTTGTCAAGGAGTACCATCTGTGACTTCTGTCTGTGTCATTTACTAATGAAATGTATTTCATCAAATGACTTAAACATTATTAGGATGTTTCTGGGTTTACAAAATAGGGAAGTGATTGCTTCTCTTGCAAATCTATAGAAAAATTAGATCAAATGTGTTTATATTGTATAAGATAGTCTGGTTATACACAGTTGGAGATTTAATACAGACGCATGTCCCTTTATTTTCCAGATGAATATGCCCTTGCGTTTTACAACATCAGTAGTATTTCAGTCTCCCAGTGAGGCAAAATAAGGCTCAGGAAAAGGTAATTAAATTACATACATTACAGACCATTTAAGACACATCTCATAAGAAATTGAAAGTCTAAATAAGACAGAACAATGGATGGAGCAAAGAGAAGTCTCTGGTTCTTCCTAAGGCTTGTATAGCTGTATATACTGGATGAATATTCTGAAGTAGTTAAGATTTTATTAATTTCTTTAAAAAGTTTTAAGGAATTCATAACTATATGTGCACCTTTTATAAATCTTTCATTTTTGCTTTTACAAATTAGCCGGTCATTAAAGATATGTACATATATTTGTATGCATGAACATATGCCATATGTGTATATTTGTCTACATGTATATATGTATGTTTTCATATCTATATCTGTCTCCATATGCAAAACATATTTTATTTATTGTTTAAATATTTTAAATACTAGGTGCAAAACTGTTTCTTTGAACAAACTCATTCTTCTGTTTCAAACTTGGGAGAAAATCACGAACCGCTTCATATCCTGAAGAATCTGCAACCTGTTGTGACTTCTTGTCAGATTTTATTTCTTTGTTATCCCATTAAATGCTGTCATTTTACACCAGAGTCTATGATTTTCTTTTCTTCTAATATTCCAATCATAGTTTTCATTCTAGAAAACTCAGGGTGTTGTTTGAAGCAACTCAACTAATTTACTAGATTGTTGTCAACTCTGAATGCAAATAAATTTACATGAGTAAAATGAGGACTGATAATTAATTATTCCAATACTTTGGGCCTGAGCTATTAGAATTGCCATCACCTCAGCTGGCCATCATTAAGGCAGGTTTGTACTGAAAGATTAAGGATTTACCTCTGAGCTTTTGATATATCAAGTTAGAAGATGAACAATCAGTAAAGGAGTTTGAGAGAGAGAGAGCAAGAATCCATGTGAGCAAGGTAGCTATGAGTTAAAATATAAATTGGGGAGTTGTTAGCACATAGACCATGGGATGGGAAGAAATCACTCAGGCAGTGAGTTTGGAGAGAGAGAAGAGCTGAGGACTTTGCTGTGTGGTTCTCGAACATTAGGAGGTGGGGTCAGTAGGGGAGCAGGTTGAGAAGGAATCAGCCAAAGTAAGAGGAAAACAAAAACAATATGGTCTCCTGGAAGGCAAGTGAAAAACATATCAAGGAAAAAGGAGCAATCAATCACCAGTGACAAGTGCTGCAGATGAAATGAAAGTAAAGACTGCAAATTGATCATTTACTTAGGCAGAAAAAAAATGTACCCATTTCTTTTGTTCCATAAGGGACATCTGTGCTAGCAGAGTCGCATTTTCCTTGGGTGGAGTTTCCCTGAAATTCCTAAGAGCCTGAGTGCTGCTTTTTTTTTTTTTTTGAGTTGGGGTCTCACTCTGTCGCCCAGACTGGAGTGCAGTGGCCGCTCCCGGCCACTGCAGCCTCGACCTGCTGGGTTCCAGCGATCCTTCTGCCTCCTTCCAAGCAGCTGGAACTACAGGCATGCGCTACCAAGCCCGGCTGATTTTTTTTTTATTTATTATGGAGATGAGGTCTCGCTGCCCAGGCGGGTCTCGAACCCACGGGCTCAGGCAATCCACTCACCTCAGCCTCCCAAAGGCGCGGGATTACAGGCTGAGCCACCGAGCCCGGCTCTTTTTTTTTTTTAAATGATGTGGATGCTGATGTCTCACCTAGACTAATTAAATCGAATTGCTGAAGCAGTAGTTCTCAAACTCAGTGTGTATCAGAATCACCCAGATTGTGAGATCGCAGAGGCTTACTCCAAGGATTCTGGAACTCCGTAGGTATGGGTGAAACATAAGAACTTGTGTTTTTAACTGTTTTCCAGGTAAAGCTGGGACTACTGGGCTCAGGACAATAATTGAAAACCCCTGATCTAAGGTCATAGCTTGGGCATCAAGGTTATTAAAAGCCCCCCTAGCATTTCTAATGTAGAATTGGGTTTCAAAGCCTCCAGACCAGAGCCAGAAGAGTAGGCAGCATTGGCATTCCTGTTGGAAATGCAAAATGTCAGGTCCTACCTACTCATATGTTAATTAGATTTTCAGATGAGGTGTCTACATATCAAAGTCTGAGAAGCACTGCTTACACCATCTCTGAATTCTTCCGTTAGGGAACTCTATGCTGGTATGACAATTGCTCTTGCTGGTCCCTGATCTTTGACAGCTCTCACTTTTCTTTTTACTGCTCCAAAGAATAACTTTCCTTCATTTTAATTTCACTCACAATGTTCTGTCCTCTTCTCACCATCCCTCTGATACAATAGAACAGTCAAAATAAAGCACCTTGAACAATGTACCATCCTATGTGTGTGGTTACTCACCCAAGAGACTTTTTCTCACTTCTTTTTAATTTAGAGAACGTGTGTTTTGCTCAAGTCTCAAGTGCTCTTGGACAAATCATGATTTTTAAGTTAATCACATCATCTGCCCAACAGTAATTGGAATCCACAGGTCAGGTACCAGGGAACACACACTCTTAGAAGATTTGTGGGTAAAGGGCTTATTGGAAAGAACATTAAAGATCAACACCTGTGGAGCATGAAGGAAGCAAGATCATACAGAAAAAGGAGCTGAAGTCAGTGTAGTTCCTGTAAAGGGCTCAGTACATACCATGGAGAGCCATGATGTTAGGATGGTTGTCCGGAGTGGTTCCAATAAAGGAGAGGGAGCTAGGCCTTATACCAACACAGCACCCATTATTACCCTAGAAAGGAGGAGGACCCTGGAGGAAATGTCTCTCTGATGCTGAAGAACATTCTCACAGAAATTCATCTACGAGCCGATAGCCACAAACATTCTCAACAGCTAGGGATATGAGTACATCAACCGAGAAGGGAGTACAGAACCGTGTCCACTACTTTGGCTTAGCAATGAAAGCTATAAACCAGGCCAGGATAAAAAGTTAGGAGTGTTCCCTGGTACAGCAACTGCAATGACTTTGCTCCTCGGTTAAAAGAGGCAGGGGAAAGAGAAAGAGAGATGTGGGAGGGGGACAGAGACGGAGACAGAGACAGAGACAGCAAGAGAGTAGAGACAGAGAGGAGGAGGAGGAGAAGGAGGAGAAGGAGGAGGAGGAAGTGGCGAAGGAAAAAGCCAAGAGGAAAGCGATGTAAGAGAAGAAAATTATTTTACTGCTGACACTTTTCTTCTAGGTTTGGATATTGTTGGGAAGAAAAAATCTTTGGTACTTCTGGAACCAAACTGTGACCAAAAAACCAAATAATACTGTAAGAACGTAGGAACCTCCTTGATGGCATTCTGGAGCTGCTAAACCAGTCCTAGCTCACAATTCTCAGAATGTATGCCAAATGAGATAATAAGCGTTTAATTTTTTGAAATCTCTATTAGATATTTTGTTACTTGTAGCTGATAAAGATGTTGTTATTCTTTTTTTTCAAATCCTTTCCTCTTTTTTCCTATATCCTCATTGTATAGAACTTGTGAAATCTCATTTTTTTTAGTTCTTTTTAAACAACTAATGCCAGGTAAATTATTTTGGAGAGGGCTTAGATGACATGAATCATTCACTGTTCACAACAATGCTCTTTATGACTAAAATTTGTGGGGGGAGGTGTATATATGCATAAAATTTAGTCTCTGATAAGACTTACCCAGTAGTTTACTATGTGTCAGTTACTGTTCCAATCACTTCAAATATATTATTTATTTAGCCCCCACAGCAAACTTATAAGGTATATTATTATTATTCCCATTTATAGACAAAGAGAGAAGCACAAGACATTTAAGTAACTCATCCAAAGTCATTCCTCTGTTAAGTGATAAAACAATAACCCAAACACTGGCTGTGAAGCCCTGGGGCTGTCGCCCTTCTCTGTAACTGCCTTGCAAGCAAAGGAAGGAAATTACACACAAACCAAGTTCCTATTATATTAATACTTTAAGGTCTGGGTAAATATTTGTAGTTTCCTGATAGCTACAATAAAAGTATAACTTTTTGTGCAAAGGTATTGCATGTACTTCAAACCTTTTCCAGAACAGTGCATTCATTGCCAAACACACTCTGCCCGAAAGACTACCTCTGACTCCCTTGCTGGCAAAAAGGTTCTGGAAACGTTAATAACTTTCTGTGACAACTTTAATGCCAAATCAAACAAGTTTACAGACTCTTATTATGTTGGGTAATGGTAATTCAGAAGAGAACACTGTAAGCTGCTCTCCTAACATAGCTCCATTTACACAAAGAGATGTTTAAGAGGGAAGACAGTGAGCTTGCCATCCACTGCATGGCATAGCTGCCTGCTGAGGCTCTGGACAGATCGCTTGTCAGGAACACATTCTGCAGAGAAAAGAACAAGTTCCCATTTGCCGCATGACTCATGGCGAGTTCCTGGCAAAGTTCTCTGCCTCAGAAGAAAGAATATTATGCAGAGCGATGACAGACAAAGGTTACAAAATGATTAGGATTCTTCCCAGAAGTTTTATATTTTCTTAATATTTAAAATTATAAATGTTACCTAAGAATTCATACTGTAAAGAAAGTGATGCTGGAATGATGGGGAAAATGTAGGAGAGAAGAGAAGTTATGTTCTGAAATGAACTTTGAAAGAGACAATATATTTTCACTAAGATTAGAAGCAAAAACTTTTTCTTCTTTTTATTTTTACTTATATAAAATATTTATTTTTACTTTTAGTATATATTAGCTATTTACTTTTCAAGAGTGTATGTTACCAAAAACTTTTCAATACTTTTACATTGTAAACAAAGGTATCTGAATATAAAATGTTTTCTTATAGTGAATATATGTATTTTCACTAAAATAAAACCATACGTATCTATTAATAAAATTATTGCAATGTAGTCACAAGATACTCAGACTTGAATTTATGGCTATTTATATTTATTTTGATAATTACTGAGCTCATTTTTTTAATTCATAAAGAAAACTGCTGTTCTTTTTTAAAAAAAATTCAATAAAAATCATCCCAAATGCATTTTTTTGTAGCTCAATGATTTTTTAAAATTAGGGATATTGATTTAGA